GGTGTTTGTGGTTGTGGTTGTGGTTGTGGTTGCGGTTGCGTTATCGTTTGCGGTTGCTGTTGCGGTTGCGGTGTTGAGGGTTGTTGGGAGAGTGGTAGCGTTGAGTGTGACTGGTGTAGTTGTGATGCTGGTGGATGTTGTTGTGGACGTGTTGATAGATGTGTAGGGTGTTGTGGGTAGAGTGATGGTGGTTATGTTTGGATTGGTGGTTGTGTTTGTGGTTGTGGTAGTGGTTGTGGTTGATGCGGTGGATGGAGTAGTTTCAGTAGATGCAGTTGGCCCAGTTGTAGTTGTGATGTTTGTTGCAGTTTGAGTTTGAGTTGTTGTTGTGCTTGCATTGATTGGTGCAGATTGTGATGCTGGTGTGATGGAAGTTGTTGTGGCGTTGAGTGTGATTGTGAGAGGAGTGGTGTTTGTGGTTGTGGTTGTGGTTGTGGTTGCGGTTGCGTTATCGTTTGCGGTTGCTGTTGCGGTTGCGGTGTTGAGGGTTGTTGGGAGAGTGGTAGCGTTGAGTGTGACTGGTGTAGTTGTGATGCTGGTGGATGTTGTTGTGGACGTGTTGATAGATGTGTAGGGTGTTGTGGGTAGAGTGATGGTGGTTATGTTTGGATTGGTGGTTGTGTTTGTGGTTGTGGTAGTGGTTGTGGTTGATGCGGTGGATGGAGTAGTTTCAGTAGATGCAGTTGGCCCAGTTGTAGTTGTGATGTTTGTTGCAGTTTGAGTTTGAGTTGTTGTTGTGCTTGCATTGATTGGTGCAGATTGTGATGCTGGTGTGATGGAAGTTGTTGTGGCGTTGAGTGTGATTGTGAGAGGAGTGGTGTTTGTGGTTGTGGTTGTGGTTGTGGTTGCGGTTGCGTTATCGTTTGCGGTTGCTGTTGCGGTTGCGGTGTTGAGGGTTGTTGGGAGAGTGGTAGCGTTGAGTGTGACTGGTGTAGTTGTGATGCTGGTGGATGTTGTTGTGGACGTGTTGATAGATGTGTAGGGTGTTGTGGGTAGAGTGATGGTGGTTATGTTTGGATTGGTGGTTGTGTTTGTGGTTGTGGTAGTGGTTGTGGTTGATGCGGTGGATGGAGTAGTTTCAGTAGATGCAGTTGGCCCAGTTGTAGTTGTGATGTTTGTTGCAGTTTGAGTTTGAGTTGTTGTTGTGCTTGCATTGATTGGTGCAGATTGTGATGCTGGTGTGATGGAAGTTGTTGTGGCGTTGAGTGTGATTGTGAGAGGAGTGGTGTTTGTGGTTGTGGTTGTGGTTGTGGTTGCGGTTGCGTTATCGTTTGCGGTTGCTGTTGCGGTTGCGGTGTTGAGGGTTGTTGGGAGAGTGGTAGCGTTGAGTGTGACTGGTGTAGTTGTGATGCTGGTGGATGTTGTTGTGGACGTGTTGATAGATGTGTAGGGTGTTGTGGGTAGAGTGATGGTGGTTATGTTTGGATTGGTGGTTGTGTTTGTGGTTGTGGTAGTGGTTGTGGTTGATGCGGTGGATGGAGTAGTTTCAGTAGATGCAGTTGGCCCAGTTGTAGTTGTGATGTTTGTTGCAGTTTGAGTTTGAGTTGTTGTTGTGCTTGCATTGATTGGTGCAGATTGTGATGCTGGTGTGATGGAAGTTGTTGTGGCGTTGAGTGTGATTGTGAGAGGAGTGGTGTTTGTGGTTGTGGTTGTGGTTGTGGTTGCGGTTGCGTTATCGTTTGCGGTTGCTGTTGCGGTTGCGGTGTTGAGGGTTGTTGGGAGAGTGGTAGCGTTGAGTGTGACTGGTGTAGTTGTGATGCTGGTGGATGTTGTTGTGGACGTGTTGATAGATGTGTAGGGTGTTGTGGGTAGAGTGATGGTGGTTATGTTTGGATTGGTGGTTGTGTTTGTGGTTGTGGTAGTGGTTGTGGTTGATGCGGTGGATGGAGTAGTTTCAGTAGATGCAGTTGGCCCAGTTGTAGTTGTGATGTTTGTTGCAGTTTGAGTTTGAGTTGTTGTTGGATCTTCTTGTTAGAAGTTTAAGGCAACTAATTTTTACATAATAAGTAGCTGTATATTGTACTTTTATATCAGTCAGTCAGTCAGCTACAACGTAGGACCAGGCATATCTATACATCGGTCAAAGTTTCCATAATACTATTATAATCTTCAATCAAAGGCCGTGACCAATAAAACAGAAGAATAGACAATGGAGATAGCGTTGTACAGTTTGTCTTAAACGAATAATTCGTCTTTCAATTTAATTATCATAAAAAACAAAAACAATGAATTCAGTGACCACCTAATAAACAAGACATAGTCAGTGGTTTCAATATGAAATTAGTTTTTACTCCATGATATCTAATCGGTCAGTTGAAGAAAAATTGTACAACTAGATGATTGTATAACAGCTGAAAACTCTAGTCAGTAGAATATTTCGAGAGTGAGATGAGAAGATGAAGCTGATCTGATTTTCAGTCATAAATTAAGTAAAAGAAGTCAATATTGGTGAGACGTTTACATTTAATTAATCAGTTTAAATCGAACATTATTAGGATGAATAGAATTATAAGATGGATAACGATCTGTATTCCTCATATACATGAATGGGACGCTAAATGCCTTACACATATATACTAGATACCATTCCAGTGTCTACTCTACAGGACTTCAATACAATTCAGATCAAGAACACTTGATTGGCCGAACTAGAACATAAGTAAATTTAACACCAAAAAACCGACAACAATCACAATAATAATAAGGGTAGGGAAATATCGAACTCATCTAATAAATATTAGACTATCTCTACTGGTCTGATTAAGCAAACAACTAATTGTTATCTAATGACAAATTGTTTCAAAGATTGTTTTTAATAATTTCATCAGGTGAGACCAATTGAGTCAATTAAAGCTAGACCACTATGGAAAACCTGGAACCACTGGACAGCCGTTTCATCCTAGTATGTGAATCTTCAGCAGTGCGCACCCATGATCCCGCCACGCACATATATGCGTTGGTCAAAGTTACCATACTTTATTAGCACAACAAGATGAACACCGGATTCAAAGAAGTAGTCACTTCAATGGTAGCAATATTTGAAAGAAAAATTGTGTATAAAGAAATTGTACAGGAAGAAAGAATTAGTTCGTAGAAGGAAAGATATGAAGCGATTTTAATCTTTTAGTTTAAGGGAAGACAGAGTGTGTATACACCTACACCATTGTGATCGATTCTCAACGATATCACTCACAGTCTACAACCATTCGTTACCATAATCGCGTGCACCCCAACCAAGTAGTCTGCATCTACCAACATGGCTCAGACCAGAAGTTAGTGACTTCAAGCACTTATGACACGTTTTGGTTTGGCCACCCCTAACTTTCTTACAACCATCCCCTACACTAGTCACTATTATGCACTGTGGTAATCAGTGTCTAGGCAAACGCAAAAGTACATTTTATATAATGTCATAAATTTATTTAAAAATTCGGAGTTATTTCATAATTTGTATTTCAGTGAAATGATAATTATATTGTTGAACAAAATTATAAAAAGAGTGATTCTGTAGGTGACATTATAACATATGAACGATATTTAAGTGGCTTTGAGAATGTCCATTGGTGTGACTATAATTTATGGACGATATTTGATCGACACTGTCGTGATCTTGAGGGTGTCCACCCTACTTACTACGGTTAAATGAGAGTTATAAAGCAGTTTAAAGAATATGGATTATAATTTACAATTGATGGTTAAGGTTAGAAATTAGATTTAAGATTTTTTCATCACGAACTGACATCAAAAATTTCTATGTAACTAAATTGAATGAATGAATTTCGCGCCAAAATCCAAGATCTGTTATCTTATACGTGATTGGTTCATACATAAATTATAATCTCACTTGTCTGTCTACTAAATAGGGCTATATTAAGGGTTTTAAAGTAGTTTTAAGTATAAGAATTCTAATTTACAATTGATGGTTTATATCAGAAGGAGTTTTGTGGAGATTTTAGAAATTTCATTGATGGAATTCATAAGTCAATTGAAGCTAGATCAACATGGAAAACCTGGAAGCACTGGACGGCCGTTTCGTCCTAGTATGGGACTCCTCAGCAGTGTGCATCCACGATCCCACACCTCGTTGGTTAAGCGCCTGGCGCGAGACTGATAGGTCCTGGGTTCGAATCTTGCGGGGTGCGGGATTGTGGATGATGGTTTGTAGTTAATAATTAAAGTTAAGAATGTTGTTTTTGTTTCATCACGAACTAATATCAGCTAAAATCCTAGAATGTTCTTCCACCAAATGAATAAATGAATTTAGCGCCAAAATTCAAGATCTATTATCCTGAAGCGTAATTAGTTCGTCTTACCATTGTTTATATCATTATAAAGGGGTTATAAATAAGTTTAATTAGAATTTAGTCCATCAATATTATTGTAGATTATCAAACATTCATGAGAAGAATATAATTTAAGTCAATGAATAAGAAATCCAAATGATAGAATATAAAAAGGAATACCGCATTAGTTGATAATTAATAGTAATATAGTATAGTTTCATTGAAATATATTTCTAATAGTTGAATTCATGAGTCAATTGAAGCTAGATCATCAAGGAAAACCTGGATGTACTGGACAACCCTTTTCGTTCTAGTATGATACTCCTGGTTAGCTGGCTCTGCGGGATTCGGATCTAGGACCTATCGGTCACGCACGTGAGCCCTTAATCACTAGATCACTGAACTGGCCAGTATCCAACGGTGTTATTGTCTAACTTCAACTAATCCACGAAATTGATCAACACATCCACCATTGTCTTCAATGAGTTACCATATCATAATAAACCCAGTTGAACTTCACTGATCATTACATCTCACTAAAACTCCAGGAAATACCTCATGAAGCCAGTAGGGGCTTCCTCAATGGAAGTGCACAATCACGATCTCTCCTTAACAGATTCAATTGACTCATGATCTCAATTATTAAACTTACTATAATATCCATAAAAACCTTTTCTGAAATTAATTTGAATTGAATTACTTAATGAATAAACTTACCTAAATCATTGATAGCCCGTTTTTCTAATTGTTCATTCATATTTTGTTCTTTATAGATAACATGATTATCATTTTTAATATGATCAAAAAATTTGATTGTCCAATCTTTTGTTTGATAAAATAAATTTACCGACGATGATGATGATGATGATGACGATGCTGGTACTGTCGTTGCTGCCGCCGCCGCCGCCGCTGATGATGATGATGATGATAATCGTAATGAATGGAATAATGATAAAGATGAGTATGATTGACTTTTCAATGATATAATAGTGACATAAGTAACATATAAAAGAATAGCTTTTATAATAATATTTTGAATGAGTAGTAATGAACTACTCAAATGAATTATACTCATTTTTTTTTCAATGTTATAAACAGAATGTTTTCTCTGTTGTTATATAATTATGTTCCAATAGTTGTTATTGATCTATTTTTCTTCTTCACTTCTTCCTTTGTGAAAGAATCTAAATAGGAAAAAAGGTAAGATGAATGAATGAATGAAAACAACAAACAATATGATAACAGTTCTTGAGTGGAAGCTTATGCTTTTGGCGCCAAAAGCATAAGCTTCCACTCAAATATAACTGTATTATCTCTATGAATATCTTCATCAGAATGTTCTGTTACCAAGTGTAAGTGAAAGACATTCAAACATGATAATTGTATCATTAATTATTTATGTTATTGTCAATAATGACATCATCATTAGTTACCTTTCTCAAAATACTGACATTTTAAATTCTCATGGTGTTGTTTTACTTGTATCTTCTCATTTTTATTTAGAACTGCAATTGATCAGTCTCTTATTGGCATATGTATATCCGATGCGAATCACCTCGATATTGTCTTAAGCCATAAGGTTTATAAGAAAATATGGAAGCAAAAGTTACTGAGTTCGAGTCCTGTAGTGAACATCAACTGTGAGATGCAGGTACATGCATCTGATGACAAACTCTTATTTCTATCTATCTGTCGACACATCTATCTATCTATCATAGTTTTAGTCGCCATTATAATCTATTACGTATTTGATACAGATCTCGAAATTCCAAAATAACAATGAAATTTTTAGAAGATTCATTGACCACTTATAATGTGATAGTCGATTTCTTAAAACAATGAAATAGTAAGCAAAGATGGATAGTGGCTGGTAGTGAAATCCACGACACGTGCCACTTTATCCTAATTAAGGCTCAATAACTAGATTATACCTTCATCTCAGAATTCATGTTCACTCTAGAAGTTGAACCCAATACCGTTCGTTTCAAGTAACATCGCATTATCCAATTAGCTACTGAGTTCTGATAACCACTTATTTGTATAATGTACCATAAATTTGATTATTCTTTCTCATATAATATCCAAGTGTTATATATTAGTAAACTCAATCATAATGTAGTTGTATATGAGTCAGTTTCTAACTGTGAAATTTAATAATACTGTCCAAATTGGATTAAGTTGAATAGGCTTCGATAAATTGCCAGTTAACAAGGCTATAAACAGTTTCCTATTGATTACTTTCGGAGTCCAGTTACTAAGACTAATATGATCACATTGTATGCTAATCAATAAAATTTGATCATAACTAAAGGATTAGATCATTATGACATTAGTTACTAATCAATAGTCAGTCAATTAAATATACATTACTTATTCATACACTTATTAGGTTTAACTATCTTGAAGGTAAGACCATTGACTTGATTTCAAAACTGGATAGAATGTAACCACTGAGAAATCAAAACAGTTTATCTTTGAACTTCTCTTCTTTTCTTTCATTCGTAATCAACAATCTAGTGTTTAGACAAGCTTAATAGATTGATGGAGAACGAATTGGGTATTTGGAACGTAATATACTGTATATTGAAGCCAAAGAAAGAGAAAGATCAAAGAACATATTACGACGAGAAATGGAGCCAGACAAGAGAAAAATGAACAGAAATTGGATAGAACTAGAAAGGAAGACCCAGGACAGAGTGTGTTGGAGAATGCTGGTCGGCGGCCTATGCTCCATTGTGAGTAACAGGCGTCATTAAGTAAGTAATGTACTGTATATTACATAGATCCACCTTGTTGAGATCCGAAAAGAACAAAATTTACATCTTGTTCCTGGAATAATATAAATTTAATAGAACTTGTTATTAAAGGTAATATCGAGACAGTAATATAAACATATCTATATAGAATAATCTTCTGGAACCTTGATTATCAATCATGGGAAATTACAGGTTATACTTGATCCATCTTCATTAGTCTACTCAAAGGCATATCTATTTCTAATTTATCTGTAGTATAAAGACTACTGGATTATGAAGACTTTGACATCTGAGAAGAAGCGCGGAATACAATGGACAGCTTGGAATAAATAAGAAGTTTTAGACTTCGCAGATGACCTGACCCTTCTACCCCATACACACGAATAAATGCAGATAAAGATAACTAGTGTAGCAGCAGCGTCTGCATCAGTGGGCCTCAACATACGTACGGAAAAAAGCAACATCCTCAAATACAGCACAGAGAACACCAACCCAATCACAATTGTTGGAGAAACTTTAGAATAGGTGGAAACTTTCACGAACTTGAAGAGTATCATCGATGAACGAGGAAGATCCAATGCTGACGTAAAGGTGAGGATCGGCAAAGCAAGGGCCGCATTCCTACACTTGAAGAACATATAAAACTCAAAACAACTACCAACCATTATCAAAGTCAGAATTTTCAATACGAACATCAAGACAGTTCCACTGTACGGATCTGAAACGTGGAAAAATACCAGAACTATCATCGAAAAGTAAAAGTATCTATAAACAATTGTCTACACAAGATACTCCAGGTTTTTTCGTCAGATAACATTAGTAAAAGCCTACTGTGGGAGAGAACAAACCAGGTTCCAGCTGAAGAGGAAGTCAGGAAAAGACATTGGAAGTGGATAAGACATTCAGTGTGGAAATCATCAAACTGCATCAAGAAGCAAGCCCCAAGTTGTAATCCTGAAGGGAAACAGAAAAGAGGAAGGTCAAAGAACACACTGCATTGAGAAATGGAAGCAGACATGAAAAGGATGATTAGCAACTGGAAAATGTTTTCTAGGACAGGGTTGGATGGAGAGTGTTGATTGGCGGCCTGTGCTCTTTGATGAGGGTTAACAGGTGTAAGTAAGTGAGTAAGTAGGTAAGTAAGTAAGTAAGTAAAAAGTATGTGGTAATAAGTAGTTCATCCTTTTTTGGAAATATTTCCCAAAAGAAAATAATGATATAAAACCACTTTTCATTTACTTATTATTATGCATCTTTATCAAATATAACTACTTAGAAGTATATAAAGAGTAAATAAGTGTTCACTTAATTAGATATTTAACTAATCTATTCATCTATTATAATTGATCATATGTTATAATAGAAAATACACTTGACATAAGTGACATAAAATTATGTTAGTTTATTGTGGAGATTGTTAAATTTCCCATAGTTTACATGATGAACTAATCTATAGGTTAAGCATTCATGCACAAGACTTAATGTTCTACGGTTTTGAAATAGTGAATGATGATGGTCGATCATCTCTGATGCGGTTATAGATGTGTACTGTTGAGTATATTATTACAAAATAACTGTACAATCTTTTCCTGATTTTCAATGATGACTTAATTAAGATCTACTAATGATGTAATCTAAGAAAATTTTGTATTAAATGCTTGCTAAGGCCAAGGGTGGGGAGAGTCCAATTTCCCTCTCGAAATGCTCTCACATGGCCGCGCGTATACAACCATTACCAGGGAAGTTCAACTCACTGCCTTCTCACTGTGAGGGTGTTGTTTACAAAATTGAGAGGACGAAAAGCGAATGTCCGGTGATTTAACCAGGTTGATGGAAACGGAGGATCCATCTATGGAAGTTGGAAAATCCTGATTCCAAACCAATGGTGCACATAGGCTTCAAGATCCTGAAGGAACAAATCGCATATGAACCAGTTGTTAGTCATCGGCTACCATAGGACTACATCTCCTGACATTGCTCCACTGCCTTGTGGTTCAGACCTTTAGGCTGAAGCCTCTAAGGAAACCACCTACTTCAGTCTGGGCACCCAGGCAGTATCATAGCTCACACACAAATCAAGTGACTTGCGTGACGTATATGCATTCGATGCTCCTTTGTACCAATATTTATGTGTTCAAATAAATAATTAAATAAAGACTAATGAGATTGAACGATGAAAATTATAATAAAAAACTTTGATGTTTCAAAATGAAAGATTTAGAGGTAACTATGCTAGATATACATTACTTAATATATTTATTCATCAGTATAGTAACTATGGCAACTGATAAATTTTGGGAAAAAATTTGTTTTACTCAATAGTTTTATGAGTTTTCTGTGAATTTTCCTTAAATTACTTTAACTTTCTAAATAAATTTCTAACTGGATGTATGATTCAGTATATCAGTGTACAACTCATAAGAATTTTTATTGAATCTGAGTATATCCCAACTGACGAGTTTAAAATAAGACGAAATATTTCTCTGCGATACTATTCTGCGGTGATTTGGATGACTCTCTCTGTCTCCCACATTGTACGAACATTCCATGTACCTAAATAAATGGTTGCTCTGGTTGTCATAAAGGGCATCAACTTCGTGACTTCCAAAGGAACTCGGTTTTCACCAATTAAGCATCATAAATCTTCTAAATGAAGACCTTCTAACACCCAGGGCAGAATTTAAATAGTTTGAATTATTTTTTCTGGTTAGGGTTTTTTAAATGAGTTAGTTTTCTACGAGATGAGGTCACCAACCCCATGCCCAACCCTTCTCCGTTATCCAGGCTAGGGACCGATAGTAGCCTCAAAGTGACTTCGAGTGGAGTTCTTCAATACCATCGCTACATATTAACTCGACTGATATTGGATACTCCAAGATGATATCGAAAGCTGTTTGTAAAGTTCCTAGATTAGTCATAATATTTGTGAATAACTATCATATTTATGAGATGAACTTTCACTGATGCTGCGACACTGTCCAGCTGATAAGCTTGAACAAAAAGAAATACAAATTATAAGGTTTAATGCTTACAGCCTTATACTTATTGACATTGATATTTAGTCAAATGTGAAATGTTAACACATTCTCCATTTAAATTTCAAGGGCTTGAACTTCTACCAGGAGATTCACTTGTTGACATGGATAATCCCGATAACATAGTTCTATTTGGTGAAGACGCTGACAAAATGCAGAGTCTTCTGACCACTCTAAGCAACAATGCAAGCATGTTCGGGATGCTATTCTCTCCCTCGAAATGCAAAATGTTACTTCAGGATTGGGTTGCATCGACACACGAACTAATGATAGGGAGTGAAGTA